AGAAAAGTCCACTAATCAGGGATTAAATGGCAAAACTACACTAGAACTCACATCTCTTCTCCTTAGAGTACCTGTCCGGGAAGGTTGCTTTCCCTGCCCCTACCCACCCCACCGCCCCCCCTGCCTGTGGTGATGAGGCTGCCTGGGGTGAGAGCCAAACTTAGTGTTTCAAAGGGGATGCAAGAAACAGGCTATTTGCTTGCAGGATTAGCTCTGACACCTCCCGTAGGAATCAGGTGATGGGGAGGGGTTTGCTTCTCTGTGTCCATCCTCTGTCTTGGGCAGGGAGGGGGGTGGTGTTAGGAAAGGAGGAGGGGGAGGAAGGTTCTACCCAGCCTGGAGAATGTCATTCTAAGTAAAGTAAGCCAGAAAGAGAAAGAAAAATACCATATGAGATCGCTTATATGTGGAATCTAAAAAAAAAAAAAAAAAAAAGCACATAAATACAAAACAGAAACAGACTCATAGAATACAAACATAGAATACCACATGGTTGCCAAGGGGGCGGGGGGTGGGAAGGGACAGACTGGGATTTCAAAATTTGTAGATACTGACAGGCATATGCAGAATAGATAAACAAGATTATACTATATAGCACAGGGAAATATATACAGGATCTTGTGGTGGCTCACAGCAAAAAAAAAAATGTGACAATGAATATATATGTATGTTCATGTATAACTGAAAAATTGTGCTCTACACTGGAATTTGACACAACATTGTAAAATGACTATAACTCAGTAAAAAAAAAAAAGAACTCGTGATTTTGTGACTCCTACAACATCCATTTATCCTCTCTCAAAAAACAGAAATATTCAAACAAAAACTACATGGAGGAAAAACAAGAGAGAAGAATGGCAAAGATCCATGCCCTCCTCTGACCTCTAGTTCCCACATTTGTCCTTATTCTCTGGAAAAATATTCAAATTATCCCCATAACCTCAGCTGGCTCAGGGTAGAGTCCAGCCCCAGTCTGCCTCTTCACTTCCTCAGGGAATGTCGGCTAAGCACCTCCCAGCGCCTCCCAGGGATCCGTGTCAGGATTACGTATGGCACAGAGGTGGCGAAGGTACCCTCACAGCCCTCAAAAAGCCTGAGCATAGTGGAGGAGATAAGGCATAAACAGAAGCAAGTGCTGCTGGGGAAAGAATGGCATCTGACCCTGGGAGAGGCCCAGATGGTGCTGGGGATGCTGGGGACCAAGAGACCACTCCCCTCTCGGCTCATGCTAGGCACAGAGCCACAGGTTACACCAACCACTCAGCACAGCGTGGGCTCCAGGAAGGAGGTCCCCTGGAGAAAGGCCCCAGACAACGGTTACTACTAGTAGTAGTAGCAGTACTAGTAGGATAATAATAATAGCAGCAATAACCCTACCTCACAGTGACGAACACTTCTTGTGCACTAAGCACTTTTTATGCATCATCTCACTTCATCCTCAGAACTCTGTAAGATAGATACTACACTCTCATTACCCCCCTTTTACAGATGAGAAAACTCAGGCTTAGAGCGGTTCTTTTATTCATTCATTCAACAAACATTTTTTAGTGTCTGCCACGAACCTGCTATCACTCTAGCAAGAGTAACCATAAGACAGTCAAAATTCCTGACTGCATATGGTGCATACATTCTGATATGAGATAAATAACTTGCCCAAGATCACGCAGCTTGTTAAAGTAGTGGAGCCAGGATTCGAATTCAGTTATTCTGACTGCAGAACCCATACTCTCAGACTTCCAACAAGCAAGCTACTGGGTCCCACCACAGCCACTTATAATCACCATTAACAGTAAAATACCACATTTCCCCTATTTTAAGAAGCATATTATTTTCACATTTTAATGTCTGAAATCTGGCTGCATTTTATAGTATATGTTGAAAGAAATCTGTGGGCTGAAGGCAGCGAAGTAAGTCATAATATAATTGATATTGCTGTCCAAGTACAGATTTAGCTGAATACAGGTTATTAGATTGCTGACTCAGTTGAATTTTCTGCAAATGTTCTGCAAATTTTCTGCAAATTAAATGCAACCAATTTTAACTTAAACGAAGATCCCTGATACTACTTCAAATACACTTGAAAAATTTCACTACAATGCAATATTGCAAGAAAAAGCTATCGTGCACGCAAGCGATTAGGCCTATCATAGTAATGCAATTAACGGGAGTAGGAATCACTAAATTTCTGGGAACAGATCATAGAATCGTCAAAGCCTAGAGGGCTAGTGTTCAAATGATAAACATTTCATTGTCAAAAGCTTCCAACAATTTAACTTCCAGCAATATGTGATCCTTTAAGGGGAAATAAAACTATGGGTTTCACCAAAGAGAAACTGCAGGCCAAACCCCACTGTTCATGGAAAAACCTCAAAATTACACGGCCAATCTTCAACATACCAAAGGGATCAAGATCATAAGTAATCTACTCTTAGAAAAGTGTCACGTAAGTCTGAAGCCACACATAACTTCTGAGAACTAAATATGATACACAACTTTAATAATGTGAAAAATACCTACACTCCAAACTCTGATTCTACAAAAAGAGCAACTCATAAGTACATATATGAATAAATTAACACCATGACAGACAATGTTTATGTCATGTTTCTTTGTTTCTGGAAGGATGCAATTAACCAATTAAATCCATGGTTTAACTTATCATCACCAGTGGCAAAATCGATACCATTACCATTATTGTTGGTAACTTAAAATAGAGAATTGCGGTAATTACAATGATATCTGCCTTTATTGAGCACCTGCCAAACACTGCAAGTGTTTTTTTTTTTCACCCATCATCTCTAATCCTCATGACAACTCTATAAGGGAGGCATTCTTAGTATTTCCATTTTATAGGTAAGGAAATTATGGTTCAAAGAAACCAGTGACTTCTCAAGATCATACAGCCAGTAAGCATCAAGCCAAGCATGGAACCAAGTCTGCCTAAATCCAAAACCCAAGTGGTTTCCAGAGCACTACAATGCCTCTCCCTACTAACAACCCACCTCCACCCGTGTGCTAGCACAGCAAGCATAGATAAGCCCTCACCTGAAGAAAAGTTACTATATATGATCTCAGACAGGAGGAGCCAGCATGAATTCAAGGTAACAGGCCCCCTCCTCCAATCCAAACACCCCCTAGTTGATCCAAATCCTGCTGCTTATATGTATGCCTGCTTCCATTTTCTCAAACTCTGCTTGAGGACATGCTCAAGCAGGCCCCAATCCAGCCAACTGCCCCAGCATTCACACAGCCGATTAACCGAATAGTTCATTCCTTCCAATTGTGCCAATTTTAGCACAGTCCAGAAAAGACGGGACACAGGGCTTGGCAAGAAGTGGGGGAAGCCCCTCCATTTCTGAGGCTGGGGCAGGAAGGGGCCTGGGGCCTAGCCAGAGGCATGCTTTCCCCTGGAGGTGCTGTTTCACGTCAGTTAATGGAAGCAGAGACCTCCCTGAGACTGACGGAAAGTCCAGCTTGCACCAGTCACCTTTTGGGGATCCCTCTGAAGTCTCAGGACAGCCCACAGTTCCAGTCAACAACTGCTTTTCTTCTTCATCAAACTTTTGCAGGACAACAGGCAGGGGCTTGTGAATTTCATCCCATTCCCTGGGCATGGACCTTTGAACACAGTCTCTTTGCCTACATGGAATCCTTCTCAGGAGCTTTTCCTTGACTATTCCCTCAGGAAAGGGCATCCAGCTTGGACACTAAGAGTGGACTGGGACGATTCAAAAAACATTTATGAGAATCTCTGAGGATTTGGAGGTGAGTGAGATATGGTCCCTACCACCAGGGAACTTGTGAGGAACCAGGTGAGTGGAAGAGTAAGACCTGCTCAGAGTAACTACAGTAAAAAGCAGAACAAGGTGAGTGTTACCCTGGAACTCAGACGAGAAGGGGATTAATTCCAGATGCAAGGTCAATAATCATTCAGCTAACACTGAGCATCTACCAGGTAGCAGGTAATGTACCAGGCATGTTACACACCTTACCCCATTCAATCCCCACAACTTCTCTGTGGAACATGTTCTGTTATTATTCACATTTTACTGATGACGAAATAGATGGAGAAGCAAAGTATCTTGTCCAAGGTCACATACCTGATTTGTAAATATTAGAGATGAGACATTGGACCCTGCTAGCCAAAACCAAAGCTTATGTTATTTTCAGTATGGTAGTCTGTATCTCCTGTAATAAATTCTTCCTAGTGGAAAAGAATCTGAACTGTTTGGGGATTCAACTAGGTGAAGAGAGAAGTAGAGAATATTTCTAGCAGAGGGTCAGCAAAAGGGAAGGCCTGGAGGTAGGACAGCTCAGCAGTCACAGGTCAGCTAAAGCAGTGGCAGAAGTCAAGCTTTCGGCACAAAGGAAGCAGTGTGTGGTCAGCAAGTTAGGGGACTTGGTGTCAGGATACCTGGGTTCTAGTCCTGTCTTGGCCACTGAAAAACTATGCGACCTTTACCATTTCCCATTCCCACTCTGGGCCTCAGTTTCCTCATCAGTAAAAATTCCAGTCCCCTCTTAGAATGGACTTTCCCCAAAAGTCTGCTCTGGCTTAAATGTTCAGTGATACTCAAAAGAGACCAGGTGACAGGCAGACCAGCTGAATGACCCTGGACAAGCTAGTTACCATGTCTGAGGCTGTCTCCTCATCTGTAATGTGAAGACAGCAGTGATGCCTGCTTCTTGGGGCTAAGGTGAAGGCTGAGTGAACTGAGGAACCCAGAGCACTGAGCACAGCGTTTGGAAAATTGCAAATGTTAAAGAAATGGAGGCAGATTTGTCACCATCATTATCATCATTGCTTTTCCTTCTCTAAAGGGTCCATAAAGCAAATGTAGTGGCCATGGGCCAGAAAACCTCATTTTTTTTTTTTAGGGACAAAAATGAGGTCTTTCTTTTCTTCTCTGAAAAAGAGAAAAGATCTCATGAAAGCACAAATCCTTCCCATGACCACCTCACGAGCAAGGCTCCCATTTCCCCAAAGGGCCGTGCCATACCTTCTCTTCTGAAGAAACAGTCAGCTTGTCACTGGATATCAAGCTGCACACCTGGTCCAGACTTAGGCTAAGAAATTCTTCCCCCAGCATCACCTCTGGAAAGTGCTGCTCTGTTCCAAAAAAAAAGCAGAAGTTCAGAAAACAAAGTTGTAACACACTCCAGCCCAGCCCTTCCCTGAACCAATGGCAGGACAGTCGGTGGGATTCAGTGGAGTCCTGGGAGCTTTGGGGGAGGCAGAAGGCATAGAGAAAGACAGCCATTCTGGCTGGAGGGAAACTAGCCTTTTAACTCAGCAGCAAAGGCATCCTCCGAGTGACCCTCCATCCTGAACATCAACACAGATGAAAATGGGGCAGAGAGATGTGAGGCTGTATCTTTTACATGCTCCGTGAGATTAATAATGGTGTTGCAGAGAAGCCTCAGTGGGGCCTGCCTACTTAATTGAGCTCATTTTCCCTCAAGGCGCAAGCGGGCAGTGGCCAACGGTGCCCCCTGCAGCTCAGCCAAACAAAAGTGGGTCAGAATCGCTGTGTGGGTGGAGGTCTCTGGGGGCTCTGGTAGGATGCCAACGTTAGAAGGCTGGTGGAAGGGGTCATCCTTTCTCGTCCAAGTTAAGCCAGCTATCGTGAGTCTCTAGTTTACAAGAAGGCCCAAGTAAGCTTCTGCCAGCTGTGGCAGCCACCTGGCCAGCACTACCAGCACTGGGAATGGTTCTTGGCAGCCAGACCCATGGAGGATGTAAGATGAGGGGGAACTGGAGGAGAACCAGAATGAGATAAAACCCACAGGCCCCAGGTCCATGCAAGGGAAGAGCCAAGGACAATTCCTACCCTGACATTCGCCCAGGCCACTATCCTGCTATTATAGAGGCAGTGAAATATCAGTGAAAGAGAATGCACTTCAGAAAAAAAGGAACCCAGATTCAAACTCTGGCTTTCTCATTTATGAGGTGTGTCCTTGAGCCAGTGGCATCACCTTCCCAGGCCTCACCTCATCTGTAAAATGGAGATAAAAGCCATGTGTCTTGCTCCCTCCATGCTCTGGTGGGAAAGGAAAAGTGAACATGTTTTACAAGCTTTTTCAAGGTGAATCAGCCCAAGGGCTGGCAATTCCTGGTGCAGCAGGCTCTGGGGGTCACAGCATCCTTTGTCATTTGCCCCTGAACTTGCTCCTTCCTCAGTTCTCATAACCCTGCACCATCGGCCCAGGAGCATCTGTGCTCCTTGCCCTGCAGGCTCCAGGATGCTCCCCTTCCTTCTGTGGTGGCCCCGCTCTGGCCTGAGAGCTTCTTGGATAATTCTAGGCCACCCTTACTTGGTCTGGCTGGCCCCTCAAGTGAGATTCAGAGCTCCTCCACACCTAGGAGGCTGCTGGAACATCAACTCTGCGGGAGTCGCACGATGGAATGGAAAGTCAGAGCACGCTGAGCTCCTCACACACCCAACAACTTCTTAAAAACCAAACAAAGAACCTAAGTTTTAAATCATTTCTTACAGAAATAATTTTTAATTTTTTATGTTGAAATAATTTCAGATCCAAAGAATTCCCATATACCCTTCATCCAGGTTCCCTAAATGTTAATATTTAATATTAACATTTAATCCCAAAGATTGAATTATAAATAATTTTTTCCATCTCTCACTAGGCAAAAAGACCTCCCCCCTTGCTCCCCACCAGCCTAAGACATCACTGAAGGCAGTTAAAGCTCACCCATCCCAAGGCTCAGGTATGTCTGTACACAGGACAAATTTAAAAGTCAGATCCTTTATGAATGGAAGCAACTATCATAATATAAGAAGCTGGTCTTGCTTCTCTCTATGTCAACAGAAAAAAGTTTAGATTTTAGGCATTGAAAAGACCTCTCTAACCATGAGAATATTTAAGACTAAGTTTTTTTCAGTGTCCATTCCTAACGGTTGTTAAATAAAAGCAAGTGAACAATCTTCTTTGGATGATGGGAATTCATTTGTGACCTGGAGGCTAGGAATGTAACAGAATTCTCCCTATACACTCTTGTGGTCCAAAAAGACTTTGGAGCAGAGTCCCCCAGTGTGTTGGCAACACCCAAGACACAGCAGAGAGAAAAAGCGACAAAGTGTGGGACGTGAAGGTTCTGTGGACCAGCCATGGCTGAGCTCAGTGGGAGAGTCAGGCAAACCAGTGCCAACATCTCTGTGGTCCAGAGTCACACCTGGTCTTCCCACCTTTATCTCAGGTTGGCCAGATACCTCACATTTGGAGGCAGGAAAAGAATGAAAAGAACAGGAAAAGGTGAGAAGGTACACTTCCGAGCTGTCAAAAATTTTTCCTCAGAGTCCAGAAAGTCAAAAGTAGACAAGCTTGGGTTTTGAAAAGGAAGAAAATGGAAGCATAGCGATGTGTACTCTAGGTAAACTGGTAAACAAACCAGAAGTTCTGAAAGATAAACCAAGGCAGAAAGTAGTCAGCTCCCCACATCTCCCCATCTTGCATGCTCTGGGGCACTGCAGGATGTGAATCTAGGTCCCTTCTCTCTGAAGTGGGCTGCTTCTTTGCCCACCTGGAACCTCCCGTGGAAATCCCTTCAGTAATCCTCCCAGGAAGCAGCATCTGCTGGGGAGGAGGCAACAAAGGAGGTACTGGGCAGCAACTTCTCACCCAGTGCTGGCACCCCAGGACTCAGGAGATTTGCAGGACATGAGCAGGAGGACACAAAGAAAGAGGTCCAGACAAAAACTCCTTCCCTTCCCCCTTTAGGCTGAGGAGATGGGGGTGAGCACTAGGGTCTGGAAGCCAGAGATCCCTTCTGTTAACAACACTCAAGAAACAACAGAGTAGAAAAAACAGGAATAGGATGCTCTGGCTAACTCAGTTTCCTGGGAAACATGAGTTCCCTCAAGACTTTGTACTCAAGTCAGCCTTCTTCCCAGCCCCTTCATGGGAAGAACCACTCTGCTCCCAGAAGGTATACCTCCCTGAGAATCAGCTTCTACCTTTAATATGTGTTTGGGGATTTTTAAATTTGTTTTGCTTTGCTATCAACATATTAAGGGAGAATGTAGTGATAAACTTCGGCTAATGGTCAAGAGACCTGGGTTCCAATCCGAGCTCCACCTCTTACAATCACTCCTTTCCAGGATTTGGCTTCATTATCCATAAAATGGGATCACAGTACCTGACCTCAGTCTCCAGGTTGTTCTGGGGCTCAAAAATGACAATATGGATTAGCCCACTTTGAAATCTGTAAGAAGCTCTTTAGAAATGAAGGATGAGTATTATCCATCCATGTTCTTGCTTCGCCAAGTCCAGCTTTGTGGGCAGCACTGCTCTCTAACAGAGAAGCATTTCCACAGCATCAGAGACATCCTTTGAAACTACAGGTCCTGCAGGCAAGGCTGTGGACCTCAAAGGTTTTAGAGACCCACTTAAATTCCACTGAGTTCCACAAACTTTCTACTGATATGTTATTCAGTTTCCTAAGGCTGCAGTTTTCTCATCTATTAAATGGAGCTAATAATAGCACCTATATCATAAAGCTGTTATGGTCTTTGGATATGCAAACATATGTAATTCACACTTACTGGGATCCTTCTAAGTGCTCAATAAATGTTCATGCGTTATGGGCCAAATGCAGTGTTTCTTGAAAAATGAAGAAAGCAGAGCTGACAACTACAAGGAGACTGCTGGCTTCAAAAGGGTAAAACAAGGCGCCAAAACCCCAACCCAACGTCCAAGGGCCATGACCAGGAGAGGCACTCCACATTAAATAAAAGTATGAGCAGGCAAATTCAGAGCAAGGCAAGAGAACAGTAGTAGCTCAGTTGAGCTAGAGCCCAGGCTGTGTCTTCATTCATCTAACAAATATTTACAGAGCATCCACTAAGAATGGGGAACTGTACAAGGTTGCAGGAGATGCAGGAGAGGTAGGCAAGGCTCACCTTTGGGGGATAGGTGAAGTGTGCAGGGGGCATAGAATCTTTGAACCATGGGCTAGCCCCTTGAAGGGGGACTCTACAAAATAAACTCAAATTTTTCTTGTCTTTTTATGAGAAATGAAAACAGAAAAAAAAATCAATTAATTAAGAATTCTAGGTAAGAGTCCTAATTAAGCAGGCATTACTCTAAGTAACACATACTGTTTAAGTTCTAAGTTTTGATTAATGAAACACAATGGATTTGTTTCTGTCCATTTGGATGAGAAATTATGGAGAAGGGGAGGGGCACTGGACAACTGGAAATCCTTTCCCCACCAGGCAACATACACATATCTTTCCAACATTGAAAGGATAAGGAAATTGGGGGGCACATTCCTAGGAAAGAGCTGGCTCTAGGGACAGAGTTGGGTCTTTTCAAGGAAACAAGCCTGGAGAAAGTTGAGGGCTTTTCCTAATAATAGTTAACATGGTGCTAGGTATTTTAAAAATATTGTCACTTACATCTTCCAAAAGCCCAGCAGAAGTGAGTATCAGTATCTCCATTTTACAGATGGAGAAATGGAAGGTTGGAAGGTCTAAGGCATGAAATTATTATCACACAGCAGGAAGTGGTAGAGCCAGGTTTAGAAACCAAGGCTGTCTGAATATAATGTCAAGCATTCTGGTGAGTATCTTAGACCCCAAGATAATAAAAACTTGTCCTGCACAGGCCATTGTGGTAAAATTCAATAGAGACATCAGAGCACCCTAAGAATCCTTCTTTGGGGTACTGCAGAGAGAGAAATAAAATATGAAATCTGAAGACATTTCTTTTATTAAAAAAAAATCTTAGAGTAGTAGTATTCTAAATATTTTGGCATCAGTCCTGGGTTGAAATCTCTGACCTAGCCCTTCAACTGAGATCTTTTCCTAATCCCCTGTCTACCATACTAGATGATGTGTCCCCAAGCCTCCAAAACAGAAGATAAAAATTATCATAGCATTAATCAATCTGTCTTATCATCTGAGGCCTTTCTCTCATACTGGGACTATGAGCCGCAAGAGGGCAGCTTCTGTCTTGTTTGAGTCTGTCCTGTGTAAGGCTGAATCCTCAGCGTCTAGTACAGTGATGTCTTATATACCGAGCTCTGAAATTATTATGCTTCCTTGCCCATTCTTCAGGACTGCCTAGAGCTCAGGCAACCTCTCAGACTAG